AAGGAAATGAGTTTAAACGTTAAGTCATGTAGTTGTTTGAAAGATGTCTGTAATAATAATAATAATAAAGCGCTTATTAAAATAGCACTTTTCATACAACACATGCAGCTCAAAGTTAAACACAAACAACAAGAAATTCCCCTCAGATTATTTGTTAAGAACTTTTAAAAGGTACATGCAGCAAAATATAACATTTTATCAGGTTAATAGACACAAGGAGGTCAAATGTATGATAATAAAAATAAAGTAAAATAAATAATGGTTTCTCTCGGACAGATAAGACACAAGCCTGAACCGAGTCGATGCAACATTATGAAATATAAAACCCCATAAAACAAAGTGAACATATAGGTTCAACAGAAATACAAATAAAAAGATTAAGACCTATAAAATAAATAAAACAATAGGCGCTTTCACACCGGAGTACTTTTCCCAGTATAGTTCTGACAGTTCTTGAAATGTTACGTTCACACCAAAAAAATCCGGAACTAAAATTAGTTCATGAGAACCTTTCCACCCCCTTTTCAGTCCCTGCTAGAGAGCAGGGACTTTCATGGGAGAAAAGGGTTCCCATTTCTGATTGGCTGGGCGGATTGCAAACCACGCCCCGTAAAACTCCCCAAACTTTTTGTGAAGCCGCCATTTTATTTGTTGGATTTAGCATTATTAGCATTAGCATTAGTCCAGCGCACCAACGGAGAGAGAATAACTTATGGCAACACAAAAGAAAACATGGGAGCGGTGGAGTGATGAGGAGGTGTCGGCGTTCTGGCGATTTACTCGGAAGGCGTCTACTGAAGCCAGTGCCCAACTCCGGGGACTTCGGGTGGCAGTGTACGCCGTGAAGTTGTTTGCGGCCTGCCAGTAAACCCAAAGCAGAAGAAGAAGAAGTGACGTCAGCGGCTTCATTTGCCTAATCCACCCTCAGGGAACTTATTCCGGTGTGAACGCGATCTGTACTTAGTTCATGAGAACTAAAGAGTTCTCATGAACTAAGTACGGGGAACTAAGTACGGCAAAGTACTTGGTGTGAAAGCGCCTATTATAACGGTAGGTAAATAATAAAGAATAAAATAACATTTAAAGGGGGGGGGGGGGTGCTAATAAAAAGCTAATCTAAAAAGATGTGTCTTCAGCTGGCGTTTAAAAATGTCCACTGATGTCATGTGACAGGCTCATAAAGTGCACTGAACATCGAAACACTTCAATACAACAAGCCTTTTAAGTTGTAAATTCTAGTTGATACAGCTTAAATATGAACGAGAAAAAGGTCTGTAAACTCTGGGCATAATATAATCTTATGTGATCTGAGAAAACAGAACAAAACTGTAGGCTGAAATCCAGCATGTACGAATCGACCGTTTTGCCAGTGAATATTTAAGCTTCATCAGTCACTCTACAGATGATAATTGCTTTTTTTGGCTGCTCAGTGATGCGATTTTCATATTTTAGCAGCATTTGGCTGGTGCTAATTTTCTCTCCTTCCTGTGGTGTCAATTGGCCCCGTCACTACAGAACCGCTGTGACATTTAAAAAAAGGACTGCCATGACGATTGCTTTGTGCCACTTTTGCGTCACCGCTGTCATCAGCTCCACGTTTTCCGTCATCGCCGTCTGACTCACACGTTCAATTTCCATTCAGTTTGTCCACGTGGATGTTTTCAGCGCTTTGTTGGAGATGTGACTCATATTTGAAGCAACAAATAGAGCACTTTTGTCTGAGTGGTATCGTGTATTGTTATCTGTTTAGTATTTCACTCACACATGAGTAGCATTGAGTCACCTGGAGTTGAGCTGCAGTTAATGCAAAGTACTTCCACTATTTTACATTCTTAAACGCTCCCCAGCGGAAAGAGACAGACTGCCACAATTATACTCTATTCGAAATTGGTCTACATTGAACACATTCTTTTTCTTACTCATTTTCTTGGTGGTTCATTTCTTTTTTTTATATATTGCAAGACATAAAGACACAGGACGTGTAATTCTGCCATCTGGAAAAACATTTGCACTGTGCCCGCGCCATAAACAAACACACAAACCTGAACGGAAGCATTCAATTATCTGCTGGATCCCTGACTTGGAGGTCTGCAGAGGCTGCTGGAGCAGAGGAGGATCTCCGGGCTCCGCACACAGGCCTGGAGAGAGAGGGGGGGGGGGATGTATTTGATCAAATCCGGCATGTAATTACATCAGTAAGACAGACTCAGAGAAACACTCCATCACCTGCTACGACACAGAGGGTATATTGCAGTGTGGTTAAAGGCTACGCACAATCACTGTCAGGCAATGAGGTCTGAATGAGACCGTGGTTCACTCTGACCTCATTACCTCCATCAACACACACACACACACACACACACACACACACACACACACACACACACACACACACACACACCCCAACAGCTTGGGTTTCACACAGTTTCACTTTATCAGCTAAAACTAATAAGGAATATGAACCAGCATGAAATTAATTTAAGTGTATTTGGAAAATGTTCAGCCAATCCACATTCTACGATTCACTGAGTTGCTCTTATGGTTTCATCTCCATCATAAACATTAGAAAAACACATTTTTGAATGGAGGGGATCCTGTTACGGTGTTTTTACTAATAGGTCCAAACTATTGTATTTTTCCTTTGTAAAAAATAAAGCTGTTGGTTCCTGTATAATTGATGGTAGTCGCCTGAGACTCCACGATCCACAATAGGTATTAAGATGGATTGCGGGAGTCGAAGTGCTCTCATTCTAGCGTTTTTCACGTTTTTTAAAATTATTCCAGCCACTTGGCTTTTACATCAATACGACGACTGTATGCCCGTTGCAATGAGAAGTAATCAGAGAGCAGCGAGAGCCGACCAATTACTCTCACAAACACCAGCGAACACCCTGTAATCACTTCAGAGGCTGAGGTTTAATTTCTCATTATTTTAAAAGAAGGGGACTGGAGGAAAGGAAAGGGCATTTTGAAACACTGTCAATGTTTCTAGCTGTGGCAAAGATCCACGTTTTGTTTATTACTCTGTTTTGTTTTTGATATTTATTTTTTGTTCTATGGAAGATCAAGTTACTTCTGGTCAGATAACAACACTATAAGGGGAAACACACAAACACCCACATTCATACTGCAGGGGAAGTAGAGCAGCTTGGCAATGTGTGTGTGTGTGTGTGTGTGTGTGTGTGTGTGTGTGTGTGTGTGTGTGTGTGTGTGTGTGTGTGTGTGTGTGTGGTAACTATAAACTAAATGCAAGTAGAACCAAAACCAAAATAGAGTATTTTATTGTATCAATGTGTGTGTGTGTGTGTGTGTGTGTGTGTGTGTGTGTGTGTGTGTGTGTGTGTGTGTGTGAGTGAGACACAGGAAGACACGCCCACAAAGACGCAGACACAGAAAAAGACCAAGAAAAGTGACTGACAACTGTGTGAGTGAGTTTGACAGAGAGAGCGATGGAGATTATGTGTTAACGTGTGACAGAATGAGTTTTCCCCGTGCCCCTCCCCCCACGCCGCGGCTAGGCTAGCTGCTATAGTTCCAGCGGGGCAGGTCAGTGACCCGCC